AACAAATGTCACAACAAATGTACAGTGCCGAACAAAAAAGTGACCATTTTTCTGATTTTTTATATTTCTATTATTTCATAACATCAACTGAGAACCTTATTATACTGGGTTTTATACAGCTTTTAATTCTCTATCAAAATATACATATATTAAACACATACTAAAATTTTAAGTGAATGTTAAAAAATAATAAAAATAAAATAAGCCGAATAAGTGGTAACCTTTTGTATAAGTTCAAAAGAATGTTTTGGCTACAATTTTTGTATCTTTTTGCACATTCTCTGAAAAAATTTGCACTGGTTAAGTAGTTAATTTTCAAATTTCTTACGTTAAATTAGAATTCAAGCTTGATGGTTATTTTTACAAATTCAGTGATGTTTATCTTTTTGAAAATGTTCGTATCCAATACCACGTTTACAGGACATTCCTCTTCACATTACAAAATGTCGATGAATAATAGAACACTGTATATATCCTTCTTTTTTTACTAGAAAATTGAAGAATTTTAATACTTTCAATCCAGCAGTTCTAGTATTGTAAAGGTGAATCATTATTCACCATATCGTGTACACTTGTATAGAAAAATGATTTCACCTGTTGTCCAAAATTCATAGGAAACAATTATCTACGTACAAAACAGACACCAATTATATGTATAAGTACAACATTCCTATCGAGTTACTTAGCCTTCGTTTATTCTGTAATGCATTTCCAGGAAGGTTATTCGTCAATGTTGGCAAATGTGCTACAGTCAATAGGTTTGTTTTCTTTCAAAATTGCAGTTAATTGGAGTCACAGACAGTGGAAACAGGTACACGATACAGAAGACTATTTCCTGGATAATTCTTCGAACGACAGGATCGATTTGTGAAGCCACATAATTCTCACTATTCTACAGGTTGTCGGTGTTATTAAAGAGACAAAGATTTGGCACCGGTGCAGCGAAATCTTGGATTCGGTGGCCACCGAATAATGAAGTTTCAAAGCCAGGTTGATAAATTCACCCCTACTCTCGTTAAATCACCGCTTCTTCCGGTCGATTATCGGTGAAAATGATGGGAAACGCGGGAAAACGATGCTATTTTCGTTTAATTCTTGTCTTTTGTAAAACGGTGTAGAAATATGTAAATCTACAGAAAATTCTAAACGTGGAAACAAAAACTAATTACATACGTTCAAAATTTACTTTTTCTATAAAAGAATTTATTAGTTAAAAAGAAATAAAATAAAATTCTACTAACCTAGTAAAATTCATTCTACTAAATATAGTAGTATTTTAGTAGAAAATAGTATTTTATTAGAATTTTACACGTACATTTGATGTTTCAAAATTCCATTGTAATTTCGACGATAACAGATGCAAAAGTTTCGCTGCGAAAATATCGAAAAGTTGCAATTAATATTGACTCTGCATTATGATGAAAGTGACTGTACAAATCATTGGTCACGTTATACAATTGTTAATGAACACTTTATACATCGCGATACAACGCAATTAACCCGATAATGAGGCATGAATAGTACTGGCTGATTACTGATACATTATAATTGTTCGAACTTCCGGCAGTATGTTATATTACGATGAAAGATTATAAATTCGAGATTACAGAACAACGCCAATTTATACTTCACAGAAATTGAATTTTTTATATATATTGTAATATTTTAGGTTTCTTTTAAATATTAGTTGTATATTGAATTCAGTGAATATACGATATTTTGTCATTTTTGCAGTATCGTGTGACTGAACATTACAATTTACTGTTGCATCATTTATTTCGAGAATAAACTAGTTTCTCCATTCGTTTATAAAATAACTCTACTAAAATTCCCAATGACTGCGTGTTAAATTGAATTGTCCTTCGAAAAAGTGTGAAAACAAATAATGTTCATTTTTCTTTTACCTTTAACATGACGAAACAATATAATCGTCTCATTCTATGAATCAATTAAGCATGACAGTTATTTATTCAAGTACACACGAAGAGAATATTTCGTAAATATTTTACTGTATTTTTTCAACAAATTCAACTTCTTCGCCACAAATAAGACGAAAAGAGTATGCAATTATCACAACACTGTCAATCACCGACTGCAAACAAAAGACACGACAGAAACTTAAATTTGCGTACACGTTCTGGAAGTGTTATACTATTTCGTAAGCCTCCGCTTGAATATTAAACTCTTCAAGGACGATTTGATTAAGACCAGAACAAATAATTTTCTTTCTTCAGTTATATTTATTTAAAATATATTTACAAGTACCTATTAACGACAATCAATTGGTAGGATCTCTTTTTTGTTCAATATTTATTTACAATAACGTTCATTGTATCTTTTGGAATCTTGCTTGAATGACAGAAAAATTGAACGTACACATATGTGTCAATATCCTTAATCCTCGAATATCGGGTCATTTTGACCCGAGTTTTCAAAGACTTCGTCCAACTTAGCAACTTCTGATAACTAATCTAAGTTAGTTATATTAATTCAAATAAAAAGAAAGCCAATTCATAAAGAAAGTTGTTTAAAAAATGTATTTAGAAAAAATGATGAAAATAGGGTTGGTTTTTGATACAAAAAAATTAATAAAAATCAAAGTCCAGAAATCATGTAATATCGAATGACAACCCTTTGTTTTCATTATTTTACTGTTAAGAATTTTGATTAATAAAAATATAAACATGTACCAATCACCGAAACTGACAGTTCATATGCAACGAGCAATGTTACTCGTGAGTTAAAATTATTCGAGTTTAGTGTTTGAACGGGGAATTCCTCGTGGACATTCAATGGACACGGTTTAATCAGTAAACCTAATACAAGAGGATTCAATTGGAAATTTCGACACGAAACACTATTCAAAAATAGTCCATCTACATTTTCAGATAAAAAATTTTTCATTAGTCATACGGGATATCAATGAAATTTTAAATATATTGTTTACGATATGATCCAAATCACGTGAGAAAAAAAGTGTAGTGGTTAAATTTGCATAACTTCCGAAGAGGAATATTTAAGGAATGAAAAAGTGATTCATTTCACAGAGAATCGTAAATCCTCGATGTAAACATCTGGTCTCGGAACAAACGGGATGAGGATGATATTCGGAACCTCTGAAAACGGGAAGTGAACGCGCATAAATTTCACAGGAATTCTGCTATCGGTCCCGCAACGGCGTATAACTGGCCCAATTTCGGTGCATACTGCTCGACAAAATCAATAGATCGGAATTGTTAACTCCTAACAACAATAATGCTTAATTTTTATTTGAAAAATTTTATTTCAGGCAATTCCCTTTTTTAGTATCGTTCTTTGAAAGGTTACGATTTAAAAAGAAATAATGAAATTAAAGAATTTAAAATTTCAGTCACGCAAATTACCATCTTAAAGCAATTGATTTTTTTGTTCAGACTTTTCTTCTGGCTTTTCATATTTAAATAATACAATTAAAATGCAGAACTAAAAATATAAATGTTAATTTAGTATTAAAATTCATGAATGTATAACAGATGTTATTATTGTAATTGATAGATGCTATTACACAATTTTTTACTTTAGTTCTCTTAGAGAAATAATGCAAATTAAGTGTAGATATGATTTAAACTCAAACACAGATTGAAATTAAAGTCATACTTGAACTACATCTATTAATTATCTTTAAATCAAACTTTTTAAACATTAAAAAAAAACAGAAACGTATACATTGCATAATTAATTCTACGTTAATAAGTTACAAATATTAAACAACCATAATTGTTTTGTATTGAACTAAGAAATGTTGCTTTCGTATATAATTAAATGGTTATAAATAACTGAAAGAACTGATATTTATATTAATAATGCAGCACAAAAACATTGCACATATCTTGTTTTTGCTTCAGGTATATACATGTACACACAACCAATTGAGGAGATTGCGTAATTAGTTGTGACTTGCTGGATTGCTGTAATTTTTTGCTCATGTATTATGTAATCATTGCTGGTGGATATTGTACCATGGTAATGTGGAATACATGAGAATTACTTCCTGTATTTAAACTTGAATTGAAAATGAAACTAAATGTAGTTTATATTTAAGCAGAAAGAATAAGTTGATTCAAATACATTTAAACTCACTTTATCAAAAATATTAATACACTATAAAAGGTATTATAATTTTAAAACAGTACTGAAATTATCATACTAAGGAAGTATAAGATTATGTAAAAAGAACTGAAGCATATGAACACATACCTGTTTATATTACTTTAAACTTCAGACAAACCCAACATATTACAGTAATATTTACTTTAGATAAGGGAAAGAAGTAATATATCTACAAAAAACACTTGTTGTATTAGATACAAACATACTGTATCCACTTAACTGGGATATACCCAAGCAAAGATGTGTTGGCACCTGGCCTGCATATGCAAGGTATGTAATAGAAAGTATTTCACATTCTAATGTGACTCCACTCCGTATTTACAGTTTCAGTTAAATAGAAATATAACTGAGTATTGAAATTATCATGAAAGCACACCCATTTAGATTCAAAATTCTTTGAATGTTAATAAAACAATTACCAACTACAAAACATTGACAGTAACAATATTAAGTATTTTATTCATAATTATTTTAACCATGATTAAATGTATTCTATTCTCATTTTCATTGACATTATAAAATTTAACAGTTTTATTTTTGCAGTCCAAATGCATAATATGAAAAAAAATGTTCACCCCGGTTGAAAGTAAAACCATACTTTATGTATGCTCTTAAACTTAGTAATTAGATCATCATTGATATCAGCATTGAATTTTTAATACACACTTGTTTTGCACATGTACCACAGAGACCTTGCAACAGCATTAAAAACGCCGATTACCTAACATTATCGCGTAGAATGTACATAATTATCTTATTCGTCTATCTAAAAAAATAAGTTCGATCGACGAAGTAGCTTATATGGGATTACCTTCACGTGTCTCTTTGAGCATTGAAAAACTTGGACTTACCATTGATTAGGGACTCAAGATTCTCGTGAGTGGGGCTCATGAAATTTTTCGGCACAGGTACGTCAACAATGAGGCATTTAATGGCTAATCGCCACCTGCTAGCCTCTCGTAGATTATCCTCGTACTTGTCAAAGCTGCGGAACCGTAGGGTGATCGTGGTTCTCTCGCGCCTCTTGACACCCTTCATACGCGCCTTCTTCAACGTGTAAGCATAAATGTACAGGTAGGCCGAGGTGTCGAACTCGTCGTAGCACTGATAAGCTTCCGCGGACTCGACGAGCTTGAACTGGGATCTCGATGTGCCCGGACCACAAACACAGCTTCCCGCGCTTTTACGTTTCGAGCGCATACATCTGCATCCGATTATGTCGCTCAGAACGATCGTTTCCACCTTCGTCGCACCATTATTGTCTTTCTCCAAGCTGAGACCCTTCTCGGTCAGTCGGACCTTGTAATACGTGTTCTTCTTGGACGTGACATAAAAGGTCTCCTCCAGGAGTGTGCTTGAATGCACTTGACCGCTGTCCTCCATGACACGCCGATGATCGTCTTTCATTCAATAAGAAACACAACTTACAACAAGATTTGCACCATGGACAGGCCATCATCATGGTGTTTAAGGCACGCGACGAACAGACATCTCTTTTCGTTGATAGACTTCCCTGACTTGGTTTCGCGACAAGCTGTCGTTTCGAATGATTCCATTTAAGTTATGAATACTGATAACGATCACTCGACGATGTTGATTTTATCATGCACGTTCTTCTTTTAGCCTTTTAAACGTTTCGTATGATTTGTACCCTTGATTCAGCTCACTCCATTTGCGAATTTATCAAGGCACGTGCATTTCTTTGAGCAATATACTTGTAATAGCGGTTGTGTTGAAGGATTCAACAATAGGACGGTTTCTGTATTATGCTGAATGTAACGGAGTTTTGATAATTTTTGTGCTCTGTATTCGTAATTGAAAGGACGTGCTACTCTGAATTTTGATGAAAAGAAATTATCTCATCGTTATCTCGGTTACTCCCGTACTTGCGCGCACTCGTGCATTGAACTGTTCGAACACACCGACGTCCACGGCATATACTGTTTATATGAAACCTGAAGAACCAATTTACTATGTATATCGCGATCTTGCGCATTCGCCATCAGAGGGCTACGTGCAGTATCCACTATCTCATAAGATCTCAGAAAACAGTTGAAGTGTTTTAAATATCGAAATATTAGAACCTTTGCGTTTAAGATACTATTGTTCTTGATGAATTACACTAAAACAACGGAAAGCAATTCTATCGTGTAATTCTTTTTCTTCATTCGTCCCTTTAAATTCGTTATCAGATGGTACGCTAACAAAAGCTCTCAGCGCTATCCTGCGTTTACAAGATGTACTGTCTTGCAAACATGTTTTATCAGATTTCTGTGTCGATAAATTTATAATAAAAAAATTTTTGTAAAAAATTTCTAGTAACTGTACAATTTTTATACATTATACTACGGAATTCTAATACTGAGTAAACGAAACCAAAATAGACTATAATTTATATTACTATCACTTTATTATTAAAATGATTCTACGTTACGTACGTATATTTGAATGTAGATTATATTATAGAATACATTAAATCACACAGTAATTAAATTTTATGTGAATAATCATTTATATTTGCAAAAAATTACACTTTTCTGTTTAATAAATTACCTACGAAAATGCAACAAATTTAATATGAAACATTGTATATGTAGTAGAGATCAAGAATTTTAGCAGTTTCTAATAAGTAGCATGTTGTATAAATCCCTTTATAAACATACTGAAACATTATAAAATTTTGAAAATGAAAACATCTGTACATAGTCAAAAATTATTTTTCTTCTTCAGTTTGGCAACTCTGCTTTTCGAAAGCAACAAGTGAAAAATTTTAATTATCGTTTAAATCGGTGTCGAAAACAAAATTCCTTTTATATTTAAACATTTCAAATGATTTATGTATACATTTATAATATGAATAGATACAAATTAATTTATTCAAGAATTTATAGCAATGTTTGTCTTTATTCTCTCGTAGCAGCTACGTTACCCACTGCAGTCCACTGTATTGAACAGCGCCCTCTTGGACATCCGTTTTCAGGAGTCCCTCACGCCTCACACAGCGTGTGAGGTCGTCCGTTTCTTTTCCGGTTTATCAAAATGGTAAGGTGGTGCTGTGAATTTGTCGGATTCCAAAAATCAATGTACATTTAACTCATCTGTGTGAATCGCAATGAATGCAAACCCTAATCAAGTTCCATAAGCGCCAAACAAAGTTAATGGTAATTATTTCGGTTACAGGGTATTGATATAAACCACAAACACGACAGAAAGGTTCGGCGTACAGAACCTAAATCGCAAGATGTCTACTTGCGACTTCTCGTCAAAGTAAGTACTATACACGTGCACTTTTAGATCTCAATGTTGAAACGCATTCAGTGCTTTTAGTTTCTTTTATATTATTTAGAGTTGTTCAACGAGCTATTTATTAGACGCCAGTTTATATAGGTTTCATAATAGAACCGTGTGTAGTAATTAAACTAGTACTTGTTGTCATAAACACGTGAAGTTTACACGTATATACTTGTATACTTTGCGAACCGCACTCTGTGTTAGTACACATATGTACTGATCCAATTTGAACGTTCGCTAGAGAAAATTTAGTCAGTCTTCCTATTCCGTCTGGACGTACCACAAGCTAAGGACGATTATATTGAGTGACACATTGTAACTTAACCCTTCAGGGACTATGCAATTTTCCTTATTTCTTCCCGTGCGGTCGACTATACGTAACGTTACGTGCGTTATCTATAATCTATTAATGAATTAAATTTTAAGACATTTTTTATAGTTATACTTAATTTATGAATGCTTTCAAGTGGCCACACAGGAGTCCGTACGGGTATTCGGACTCCATCCTTAATGGGTTAAGGAACCTATAAAACTTTATATTCAAACATGCTGGTTATAAACTTTTTAAGCAGAGAGTTTTTATTAATCTTCTGCTTAAGATGTATCTTATGAAAATAAAATCGTATGTGTAGACAGTTAATGTTTCATATCATGATATGTGTTTTTATGTAGAACACTGTTAATGATTTGTTAATGTGTATTTGTATGACAACTTTTCTCTCGCAAGTAGCACCATGAATATATTAAAATTGTTTACTTTTCTTCTAGCTTTACCGTTTCTTGGCTCGACGTACCAATGCTAAGTTCAATAAGATTATCCTCAAGAGACTTTTTATGAGTAAGATACATCGTCCACCAATTTCTCTTGCACGTGTTGTCAGGTTTATGAAGAAACCTGGACGTGAAAATTGCATTGCAGTAATTGTTGGCACAGTGACAGATGACGCTAGGATTTTTGAAGTTCCTAAACTTACAGTAAGTGTAGTAGTATATACCTTAATACATTTGAGCCCAATCACAGCAGTATCTCACTAGCTTAGCTAATAATTTGGCATGTGGGTTATGTATGGATGGTATGTAAACATTGCTAGTTCCTAGGGATAGTTTTGTAATAATATATTGGTCTCAAATGTGTTGATGTTTTAATCAGCAGGTGCAAATTTTGTTTTTTTTACACCTTTAGTATTTTATAATTTTTAATTTAAACAGTGAATAGCATTTATTTCATTTGTGTTATGTATATTATAGGTCTGTGCATTGCGTATTACTGAGAAAGCTAGGGCTCGTATCTTGAAAGCTGGAGGTGAATTGATTACTTTCGATCAGTTGGCGCTGCGTGCACCCACTGGAAGAAAGACAGTTTTAATGCAAGGTCCTCGCAACGCCCGTGAAGCAGTGAAACACTTTGGACCAGCTCCTGGTGTACCACATTCGCATACGAAACCATTAGTACGCTCTAAGGGTAGAAAGTTTGAGAGAGCAAGAGGCCGTAGGCGAAGCTGTGGTTATAAAAAATAAATATTGTTTATTTGCCATCATTTATTGTACCATACCCTTAAGTTAACTTGCAGATTCTAGGCATTTTGTCTATTTCTACATTCTTTTATATAGCAAGTCGAGGTGGCTGGAAAATAAATGTTGGCTTCTTAACATTTGTTATGTTATTAATTCCTTCATTCTATTGTGAGTGATATTTTATTTCTTACATGATGATTGAACATAAAATTAAAAGTTTCCAGACACTTATTTCTAAACAACTTAATATGGATAGAAAACAAATTTAGCCACGAATAATAAGTGTTCATAGTTTATGTTTCTGCATTATTGCTTTCCTCAGGATTTTCTATTAATTCTTCTGGTTTTTCATCATCATCTGATTGCGTGTCTTCTAAAGTGGTATTATCCGGAAAATATAATTTCGATTCCTCTAAACCTTTCTCTGGATTTTCACTTACATGGTAAGGTCCAATACCAGCAAATCCTAGAAACGCTTCGCATCCTACTTTTTTTACTACACATACGAATGTTTCATATCTGTTAACATAAATGGATGTTACAACGGACGTAACTTTAACCGAGATATATGATTTTTCTAAGAAACTGTTATGAATCAATGCTTACCCCGTTCTTTCTCTTATATTTTTTTCAAACTCATCGATACTTTTAGCTATGATCTTTGCCTCCGGTGGTTTATCGGATTCAAAGATACCAAAATTGGCTACTTCATCTTCAAATTCTTCCAAAACAATTTTCAACTCATTTTTCCGTGTATAATCATATTTGAATACTACTGTAGGTACCTTTGCAGCTTTATCTTCGTACTATAAAATAAAAGTTTCATATTTTTCACAATATCTACATTACATACGGTAGAAATTAATTGGCTTACAGGATATGTCTTGTTAGTGTACGTGGCAAAAATCGTACGATAAACAATTGCCTTATTTCTACAATTTGGTGGTGTCCATACAAGAGGAAAAACGTCAGTTTCGTTCTCTGTTGTCATGAAGGCAGGTCGATGGCGACCCGCGTAACTATAGAATTAAGAATATTTAAAGACACACCCCTTAAATAAAGTTATTTGTAGGTTTATTTCAGATTCACATCGTATGCAAGATTTCCAATTTTACTAAAAATCAGTAATAAAAGTACCTACCATTCGTCTGTAAAAACTTTTTCCGGATTTGGTAGTTCTGGTTCTCCGTATAAGAGATTCAGTAAATGCGTATGAATATCAACATCCAATTTTTCCTCTGTAATTTTCAATCTCATAAACATACATTTGCCATCCAAGAGTAACTCCTTACAATTCTTCGGCAATACATAGTCAGACTACAAAAACGTACAATAGTCAAATTTTGATCAGTTCTTTAGATATGTAAGTTATATAAGATAAATAGTTTCATTATTATAGGTACCTCGTCGAAGAGTTTGTCAAGAATATCCTCGTTAAGTCGCTTTCGTATTTCCTGCTCAACAGTGTAATTCCCTGGTAATATCTCTTCAATTAATTCTACGTACGGTGGACTCGACTTTTTGTCCCTTCTGTGGCTCTCCTCGTCTTTGAAAATCCAGGGATAAAGCAAGAGACAGGTTTCGTTGTTTAACGAAGTAGTGAAGTGAAGCATTTCCGTTTCGTATCGCGCCACTGCCTCAGCCTCTAACGAGTTCACATTAAACAGATATTTAAGTAGTTAAATCTTAGTATTATTTCAATTTTAGTTTAATATAGCATATATGTGATAAAGCAGTGCATATTTTCGCTAACCGCTTTACGAGATAAAATGAAAGTCGGAATACAGAAAAATGGCAAAGTTTATTTACATAACAAAATATCTTGGAATTGTGCAATAAAATATATATATCAATAACTCTGATTTGCATTTATAGTACAACTAAAAGTATTTTCTTTTCGAAACCTTTTCGAGCCTTTTTCGCCGCTTCTTTGGCTATTCTAGTTTCTTCGATTATTTTTAATCGTTTTACTTCCTCTGGGCTTCTTTCAGATACATCTATTGAAAATCTATGCAATATATAATGAAAATATAAACTTTTTAAATGTCTGAGGACTGCAAACACTTGCAAAAAAAGTAATGAAAGTAGCATTTTTAACACATATAAGATATTCTGTGTTCATTTTTTTCATACATTGAATAATTATATTATTCTTTCATGAATAATAAGTTATTTTTTGTAGTTTCTAATGCAGTGGATTCTATATGAGGTATAATTTTACTTACTCATGTTCCTCGCCATTCTGTACTCGTTGCAATTCAGTTGTTAACATTTTTAACAATTGTGGACACTGTGCGCCGAACATGAGGTTTATCATTCGACCATTCTGAATAAATAATTAAAATAATTATAAATCAAAATAATGCGAGAATCATTTTTTAAATTACTTAAACAATTTAAATTAGTCACGTGAATGAACATCCAGATCGGTTCGCTTTTCCCTTGGAAGCGTTCTAAGTCCGTTATGTAATCGCATTTCGCCTAAATTTACAATAATAATAGGTCGTTACCATTAAATGTAAATATTAAATAAAATATTCAAATTCACCGTAGCGTAACTTAACGCATCTCCTCCGATTTCCATTTTGATCTTCTTCAGCGTGCTCACCATTCCTGTGCACGGTCCACTCCATTCCGAGTAGACATCGACCACTAAAAAGGATCATTTCAACAATATATAAAACTATCGCTTAAATTAAACTATAAAATAATATAATGTTCAATAAATCACTCGCCTATTAAACCAGTTTTCTTTAGAAGCTTTTCCCAATCCTCATCGTTGGAAATTTCAATTTGCAATGCCGCCGGTACTGTCTTCTTTGCCATCTTCCGCGAAGATTTTAAACCACCCTACAAAAAATTATGGTTATTTCTTTAGCTGCACATTGTAATAGTAATTGTTTTTCTTTTCGCTGAAAGCTTTTCTTTCAACAAATATAGTTCTGGAATTGAAAAAATGAATTCTCGATAGCTACAACAAGAGTTGCAATGAAAAGAATGATTTAAATAATTCAAAACGGTCCATTTTTAGAAAAAATGTAACTGTCATCTATCTAGGAATTCGGTTCTCTGGAAAGTATTCCAATTTAGATTATAATATTAATATTTCCCCGTGTTGGAAGAATTTCAGAAAACAGTTCCGATAAACTTGCAGATATAGGTACCCTCTTTCGGCGCATCATGTTTAACGGATTTATCAGGCTCCTTTTTGATCTGACTTCGTTTTATTATTTTTTTCGTTTTTAGGTGTATTGAATTTAAATTGTGGTTTCTTTGATCTATCTTGACCGAGGTGCAGAGTGAAACTGTGGGGCCGTATACTTCTTAGTCGGAAGACCATACCTTCCGGCTTAGAACACGGGGACATCGGTGACATGGAGGACACGCAAACTTTACCGATTAAGTCGGCTTCCAGCCACACAAATACACGCACAGATAATTATAGTGCACAAGAGGATCGAGGAATCCACGATAAGAATTTCCTATGCAATGTCCCCTCCCGCACCTGACATGAAATATTAATCTTACGCTGAATTCCGTGTAATTATGGCCACTGTGTGGGTATTGTGCTTTATAAGTTTGTAAGATTTATGAAGCCTCGTGACATCCTGTTAAGCTACGCGGTTCCAGTGAAAAGGTATAAATTTAATCGGTGCATGTATTAAATCGATTACGTGACAGACATAGACCAATAATTTTTCCCTCATTTGAATGACAGATTTATAGGGCAACCATAATTTCTTATTTCTGAGTTATCGAATAGTAACGAAACTACGTTTTTGACCCCCCTTTTTAAAAAGAAAATAGTAGTACGTAATAATTTTAAACATATAATAATGAATTTTTTAAATGGTAGAAGTATTCTTTTAATCCATTTTTATGTGTATTTAAATTTCATTATGCATGATCCGGTTTGGAAATCTTTATAATTAAGTTTAATTCTGTGTAGAATTTTGCTATATAATTAAGTGTAAGTTTTGTATAAAATGACAAATTTCAGTAGGAGAATAGGTGTACCCATCAATTTTATTTTTACCTGCAGCCTAATGTACGTAATTACAAATGGTCACGCAATATAAACATGCGAAGCTAACATTAGAAATGATAAATGAGCTTTTAGTATAGGTACAATATATAAAACGTGAAACTAAATGAAATTACCTTTATCCTCTATTAAATAATTACGTTTAATTTAAAAGTTAAGTTATTATAAGATTCATAGAAATGATATCTTGATTCAATTCTAAGGGGAATTTAACGTCCTTATCGAAAATATTTTTCCATAATAAGACAATTGTTAATTTTAGTCAACATTTTACAGATCTATACATAAATTTATAAAAATATTATAGTTCAAATGTAGTTTTATAATTTGAGAAAAATTTCATTTAATTTAAATCAAATCGAATACGATCTAAATAATCGTGGAGTTTAAGATGGCGCTAGTGTCAGGTGGTTCACTATATTTACGAACACAACAAGGAACAGTTTCTATAGCGGTGTAACAACGAACACACCTTAGCGTATAAATTTAATATCGATTCGTTTAGCTACTGCTATAATGTTGCTTCAATGGTGAATTTGGTTAAGTGAAATGTGCAACTCTGTTCTGATGTTTTTTACCAATGTCAACACCCAGTTTTCTTGTACTATGAAATATGTACTCAGAAACTTAAGACGTATTGAGTGCATTAAATTTTGTAGCATTAAAATACCGTAGCAACATACTTGAACTTCCAAGAGATTGATAAACAGATACAGTGATACCAATATCAGAACTCAAATTATATTCTAATCAGTTTTTATTACAATTAAATAGCTGTTTATCATCTGCGGTCAATGATCTCATATTGTAATATTTTCTTAATTTTGTTTAAAAGTATGAGAATATTTTTCTTTGGCACTTTTAATATTTCAAAAGATTAGCGCTTGTGAGAATTGATTGTTGTGCATAGCCCTCTAGTGATAGATCATGGAAGGATTTGTCGAAAATTCTTATAAGAACAACTTTCATCAAATACTCCCGTGAATAAAATAGAGTCTGCTAAAAAAATATTACCATTGATGAGGCTATGAATTTTATTTATTTATAGCATACGAATGCTCATAATACAAGAAAGAATACATTTTAATATTATACACGCTTAATAGAAGAAGTAAATTCGTTTTTCAGTTGTAACTTTCGGAAATTGATTTGTGAAAGCATAGATCCGCAGTTCACTGATGAATGTTTTACAAGCTTAAAGCCAAACAGAATAGTATCTTAATTTTATAATTCGTTTTTTTTATTGCTAATACTTTTTATTACATTCTCTTATTTTGAATTATTAATGTTGTTTGTAACAATTTCAACGTGGACTGTGCCATCTAGTTAAGTTTTAGACATCATGTGCACCAGGGGTTCGTGGTTCGCTTTTCTCTCGTTCTCCCCTCCTTTCCCACTATTTCCTTATCTGAATCAGCTGATTATTGTTTTCGTATTTCCAACGAAACAGACCGTTGCTGCAGTTATGATACACGATACTAATTAACGGGGCGACGTTACCGTGCATCCTCGTGGGCGCGTCGAAACAGAGAACGGACCCGACGATCGTCGTCGTGACTTGGAACTGTACCGACGCGCTTCATATTTCGAACGGGAGGATTGACGTTCCGCGGGCGGGGTGACATCACTATCGTTTTCTGGTTTGTGTGTTGTGTCAGTCACTCGCAGAATGACGCAGTAGAAGGTCGTCTCAGAGATGGCGAGTTTCCCAGTATGAAAATACAGTTTTATGGCGAGGTAAATCGACGATTCTGTTTATTGTTAATACGAGAAACGATCGACACCGTAGACATCTTTCCGTGAGACAAGTAATAGCGACGTTGTAAGAAGCGACTGCTTTGTTGTGACCTGACTGCCTGCTACCCCTTTGTTCGACGAAATGTCAGGGTCGCCTCGTTTAACTGTCGAGTATGAATTTCTTTTTTTTTTTATTCCGTAATCTCTGGCATATTCATGTTCCTTAGATGAACGATAATCGTTTTAGGCTTCTGCTTTCTTCGCCGTTCTGACATTTGCGTTTCGCTTTTATTAATTGTCCCTGAGCGTACACCACGGAACAGCTGTACCGGATTGTGTAATATTCTTTAAACAGGCAAAATAGATTCTCCCACTACTTCCCTGTTACTCGTTTCTGCATTATCTGATGTGCAGATAACATTTCGTAAATTTCCGAGCACGTACCCACGAATGCATTCACAGCGATCCTGGCCTTTTGTTAATTATTAATCGCAGTTTTATACCATTCCTTTTTATCGTTATCTACTGTACTCTTATTAATAGAAACACATACGTTGCACGCATTAATTTTGCTGCGATCAACTGAAATTTGCGCGCGTAATACATGCAGATACTTTTCTTCTCCCATATTTTTTGTACTTTCATTAAAATATGTTTTTTAGCTGCACACATTTATTATTTAAGTTTCATTGAACATTGTGATGTTAATATTTTTGTATTCGTAAACATTTACACTGATCTTAATATATTATAAATTCATAATGTTTTTTACATATATGTCATTATAATAATAAATTGTTTTATTTACGATTTGTAATAGAATGGTCAATTTTTTTGTGTTCAGAGTAGAAGGTAATAGAATTATTACTTAAAATAATATAAAGTACTACATTATTTACATAAATTATTATTTGATAAAGCTATAATTATTAAATTTGCAAAGTAATCTGTAACAATTTTTTTATAGAATTAATTAACTAGTAATTATATATATTATAATATCCTTTTTATTTATTTATTCTATAATGATAATTCTTTCATATTAAAATGAAATTGAAAATAATTATGTATTTGTTATGTTTACATATTATTTTATAAATTTGTTTTTCATACATTAAAATGTTTATGTATAGGTAAAAACGTTCAGTTTGGGAATAAAAAATGTCTGCAGACTCTCCAAGGCGTGGTGTGCACAAAGGAGCTCAAGTTGTATCACCGCAGCCTATAGTTGATCGTTCAATTATAGACAGTGTTGCTGGCATTATTAATGATATAGTTCCACAGGTTGGTACATCAAGATATTCTTGTTTCTCTAATTTTAATGAAAAATTATATATTATCTTATTTATGTACAGGCTTATGCTGGCACACCAAATTCCGATAACAAGGAGTCTATATCATGGGCACGGTTTGAGTATGCAGACATTAATGATCCAGCCCTATATCCAGACTACAACGAAGGCTCTAATACACCACCTTTGTTATTGGTGCTTGGTTACGCAACTGGAGTACAGGTTGGTCTTTCGAATATTTAATTTTCTTTCCTACAGTCATATCACTTGTTTTAATAAATATTTATTATGCTAATGGCATGTTGTATGAATAATTCAAATTTTTCAGCGCACTAAAACCAAATGTTAAAGGTTCTTATTGATTCATACGATTTCTAATTATAGTAGTAGGAACTTTGAAGCTTTATCCATGTTGATATACGGAAAAATCTTAATTTATCTAGGAGATGTAGTGTTGAAATAACCACATTCATTATCAAAATGAGGGTATAATGCAGCTTGTAAAGACAGTGATACAGTATCTTAAAGTTCTATTACTGTGATTGTATACTCTAGTAGATAGAGATAACACTGTTATAACAGTGAAGTGCAACAAATTCTATGTGTTGTAGGTATGGTTGATAGCAGCAACAGGAGAAGCAAGTGAAGTGTTATCATGGCGACAGGGAGTGGTTCGCACTCTGAGAATTCTACCAAATCCAAAGACTGACGATGAACACACCGATTCGTTTGATTCTAAACGGCCGATGGTGGCAATATGTGATTCAGCTGGACCTGGACCACAATTTTGCAACATTAGTTTCATTTCGCTGAAAACTGGGGAACAAGCAAAAAGCATAAAGTTTAAAAATCCGGTTTGCGACATTTTGGCGAATAAGCGATCCATAGTAGTAACATTTTTAGAAAAGATTGCAGTGTTTGATGCTCGAACATTGGAGGATGTGTTAACAGTCACGACCTGCTATGCCAGTCCTGGTCCAAACCCGAATCCTATTGCTTTAGGGACAAGATGGCTTGCTTACAGGTAAAAATCTTCAGTTTCTCACATTCTAGAATCTTGTATATCAAAGGATACTAAACACTTTTTATATTATATTCAGCGAAAAGAATTTGCTACCAGCGAAAAGAAGCAGTGGAGGTTGCGAAGGAGAAGGAGTTCAAAGTTACACCGCGACTGTTCTTTACGCTGCAAAATCTTTGGGGAAAGGTTTACGTGGTTTGGGCGAAACTGTTGCGTCAAGTTTAACCGGTAATTCAGTATCGCCAGTAGTCATCAATAACACGGGCAATGATGTGACCCAACCAGGGGTGATAACGATACTAGATCTCCAAGCAGCAAAAGAGGAAAAAGAATTAGATGATGCAAATATAGAGACTGTAATTGCTCATTTTACTGCCCATAGCGATGCAATCGTTGCTATGACCTTTGATTCAAGCGGTGCATTGTTGATGACCGCCGACAAAAGGGGGCATGATTTTCATGTATTTAGAATTCAGCCGCATCCAGGCGGCCCTACTCTAGCAGCAGTACACCATTTGTATATTTTACATCGCGGAGATACCACTGCAAAAGTGCAGGTATATTGAATTAATTCTTACTCTTTATAATCTAAAAATTTATCATTTATATTTATCTGTTATCGCAGGATATGGTATTCTCGAGCGATACACGTTGGGCGGCAATATCAACTGTAAGGGGCACCACTCACGTGTTTCCGGTTGCACCCTATGGCGGACCGGTGGGTGTACGCACCCATTCCACGCCTCATGTTGTAAATAGACTTTCCAGATTTCATAGAAGCGCAGGTTTAACCGACGATGGTACCAGATCTCATTCGCCTGTGTCCCATTCAGAGTTGCCTTTGTCAGTGTATCCGTACTCCAATCCAAGACTTCCTCCGTATCCCCATCCAACTGTATTGCATCCTTTGGCACAGATTCGGCAGCCATCTTCGTTAAATCACGTGAACAGCCAAGCTCAACAGAGGTAATTATTTATGTAATATGTATATCATATCAATGGTTACCCTTTGGAAATACAATTTTTTTTCACTCGCGGTACTATTTAGTAGGCCACAACAAAGACAACGATTGCACTCCGATGACAGTGGAACTCTACCATTGAAAATATGCGCTTGCTTTGCACCACCGAGAGCATGGATGTATGCACAAAGGGAATCTACCGTCAAAGTTATGAAGAGGGCAGTCGATTCTCTGTTTATCATGGCGTGCCATGGAAACATGATACAATACGATTTAGAACCGAAACCAGCAGCAGGTGAATAGAATATTAATTTATAAACGAACAATTTAATTTTAATATTTATTTAGACTTATTGGCAAATCATTTGTTTCAGGTGTACCAAAAGAAAAAGTGTGCGACGATACAATGATCGAATTGGAAGTTGAAGCGAAGGGTCAGTGGCCTCTAATAAGATCACCAAATTCGTTAGAAATTGTGCCACCTTTACCAACATCTAGCCCGTTGCTAAGTGTCGTCAGTTTACCAAAAGACATTCAAGATATGGACTTCGCGGAGGATCGTTGGTTAAGCCAAGTCGAGATCGTAACACACGCTGGTCCACACAGACGGCTTTGGATGGGGCCACAGTTCGTTTTCAAGACCTACAACGCAACTAGCGGGTTAGTTTTTACAAATGCTTATACTCGGCGACCTAAACGTCACTAGACCACTTAAAAATAAAATAACTTTTATGTATTAAAAATTCACATTTATGCTCTTATAAACAATAAATATACTTTTTGGAAATTAGTTTTAATTAGCTTTTGTAGATTATGCCCTTCAAATGGCCATCATTTTGTTCTTGACAGTGACGGGCTCTTTCTATAAAGTTATATTGTAAAATGGTCTAGTGACTTTTGGGCGACCCTGTGCAACGCGTGATATTATCCTTGCGTACGTCTTGTATTAATAGTAACCAATTAATCGCAGGGCACCTGTGAATCTGGTTGAAGCCGAGGCTATTGAAATCGGCGTAACCGGTGGCTCTCGTCCAGCGAGATCGAATCCTGTTAATATGCCGCACGCCACGTCTAGATCGTTGGTACCCGTGGTTATCGACGGATCAGGAAGTAAGTCTACGAATAAATCGCGACATAATGTCTCATATACAAACGTCATGAAAAAGTATCGTAAGAAAGTGCTTTTAGTAATTTTAATGATAGGAAACCTCAAGGTGTGTCGGTGATTATGAAAGCGGAGTGTAAGTCATGTACCCTCACGAGCAAATTCGGCTTCCGCTAGGGGAAACAGTGAGGTAGGCGAAGGACCGCCTACTATTTAATTTTGGCAGTTACTGAAATTTATGCAAAATTAACATTTATTTCAGTATTTGGAATAAATTTACTAAGTGGTAGGAAACTTTTCTTCTACGCCACTTTTTCCTCTAAGGAAGCGAAGTTTGCTCGTCGGTGTATTTTTCGTTTTGAAAGAATATAATACCAAATAAGAGAAAAACAACATTTTTTGGGGTTTTTGACTAGTTTCATTATCACCGGCACAAGTATAAAATCGCTAGACGCAGATCATCATACAGTGACAAGTGAATGATTGATACGCGTGATGCAATTACACGCTCGATTCATTATCGCCGATCATGTAGAACAAACGTATTGTTATACACGACTAGTAATTGGGTTATCTTATCAAGTTTCTTTTTGTTTCGATCTTATTTACTTTTTTAAATTATCCGATGAACCAATCATCGTTATGATTTTCTTGATTGATTACAAATATCACTACAGACCAGTATTATTTGTATTGATTGTGCGAACTGTACAACACATTACTATTTTTAAATATTTTTGAAATATCTAGGCAGATTATTTTATCGATACTTATATGTATATTTTTCAGGTAGTTACGAGCAATCTCCAAGATTCATGGAAGCTTACGGCGACTCCTTGGAGAGCGAGACCACGGGCGTCGGTGGTGGCGAGAATCAGCTGAGGGAGGATCTGGCCGAAGCGATGCTAGAAACCTCCATCGCGCCTCATCGTGCACCAGGTGAGTAGCTCTAACAATTTTTTTCTGTTCAATGAAACGTGTGGTGCTTTGTTTTGAAATAGAAAATTTTCAACATAATCCCGACGTATATATATATACATATATATCCCGTTTGGTCGCGTATTGCGCAGTGTTTCCATTTTTAAAGTAATCGTTATCACGGAAACCGATAAAAGTATTCTTCGTGTAATTCGAATTATCCTGCTGAATGCAGTAAACTTGCAAACATATATGGACAGAAGTAAAGTTGCTTCTTTTTTTTTCTTTTTCTCTCTCTCCTATCATCGTATTTATCGAAGTGTAAGTTTACTTCTGTCGACCAGCCAAGTATCATTATGTGTACTTTCAAAAAAGCAACATACGATTAAAAATTAACGACAACGATGACATTGTTTAACACGTAAAGTATTTCATAACCGTTCATAGGCGTTTTTGATGGATGTTTATGAGCTGAATATGAATCTTTAAACCGTTTTCTTTACAGCTCGTCCAGTTTTTGAAGCAATCAAATTTTTAAAAAATTGCAAATTATCAATTTTGGAAGTGTGTTGTGCTTTTGACACGAAATAATTCTCTGTACTCTACCGAACAAAATCAGATAAGTTGTTATTATATTATAGATATCTAAATGTATTTAAATAACGATCAAAGTGACAACGACACCGAAAACGTACCAATTTTCGCTGATCTTCTTCAGTTTATTTTAAAAACTAAGGGTCTAGAAGAAGTAACTGCATGCTGTAGTTAGATTTTCTCCTAGGCCCTTAGTTTTTGAAATAAATTGAAGAATATCATCAAACATTGGTGTGTTTTCAGTGTCCTTTTCACTTTGATAATTATTTAAATATATTTAAATATCCGTAATATAATAGCAATTAATATTATTTTGTTCCGTAGAGTCCAGAGAATTATTTTGTGTCAAAAGCAACTGAATAACTATCATTGTAAAAGCACAACACACATCCAAAGTTGAAAATTTGCAATTTTCTAAAAAATCGATTTTTTCAAGAACTGTTCGTGCTGGGAAAAAACGGTTTGTAGATTTGTGTTCAGCTTATAAAGATCTATCAGAAACGCGTATTAACGGTTATGAGGTAGGAAAAAAGTGAAAATTCGTTGACCAGTGTAAATATAACACATGTGCCGAATGCCAAAAATTCGGATTCTCGGTGTTATCACTTATTGGACGAAATGACAACAAATTTCTGCTGATTCGAACACACGTCGGCGTCTCCTGTTAGAAAACTACACAACCGCAAAAAAGCACGTGTGTGTCTAGAAATAGATGCGCGCAGTGCTTCCGCTTTCTGCATTTGGTGACGGATGATTTGTTAGATTGTAAGTTTGTGGTAGATACAGAACTGGCCAGAGGCAGGTATCTCCGTTTTCCTCCCACCCCCAAAACCCCTTTTTAATGATATCATATATACATTATATTATATCTATTTACTAACAGCGATGTATTTCAACGTCCACCCTCTAAGTCGAGGTGAACAATCTTGAAAAAAAAAAAGGCTTATGGACAGTCCTACTAACTCCGTAAGAATACTTTCTCTTCGTTAAAAGTACTTCGTTTAAAAATACATCACCCTGAACTTAAATACAAAAAACCACTGGAACTTCTTCATATTCTCGGTGTACCATTTAAAACGATTGTGATTGAAGTTTGCGTCGTCTCTTTTTTTTTTTTTTTTGTGGTGTGCAGTGTGAAAAACTCGTTCGAGTATAAATCCTCTAGTGTGTCTATCTACACAAAACCCCACCGTTGATCCTAAGAATTCTCGTTTTGGTGTTCTTACGCAGTTTTAATGAATCCCCTAACGGATAGTAACGGAGAGTATCCGAAGAACAAAAACGATCGATTATTCCTCTTCCCCGGTTCGAAAAACCCGCGCGTCTTGATTTCTCAAACGGGGCTCTCTACCGGGAACATAAAAAAAAAAAAAAAAAAAAAAAAAAAAAAAAGAAAACGACGAAGGGGATCGTTGTCTCGATATTGATACCTGCCGATGGCTTTTTCTGTTACTAGGTAGGCGAACGGTATTTGAGAGGGTGGGTCAGCCGGTAACTAAAGTCGTCAACCCATTGGGCACCGTGATTACCGTGTCGGCCGATGAGGAGGACGTACACTCCAGTCAGGAGTTCGATACAGGGACGGGGAGCAACCTGATCCCGGAACCACCTAGGAGCGTGTGCGCCGAGGAGGGTCCTGCGTCCCTTAGCGATCTAGAGCCGGAGAGCCAGACTCTACGCGATCTGACGGAGATCTGCGCGGAGATGCGTTCCGCCAGCGAGCCAGCGATCGACAGCGTGCCCGACGAGAACATACGCGAGGTGAAAGAGAGAAAAGCTTTGTGCGTGGAGATCGCCGCGATCACGAATCCGGGCGGTGGTTCGTCGATCGATTTCGAGAAAGAAGAAGCGTTCAAGGATGTTCCAACGAGCTTGAGCCTTTGCGCTGAACCAGGTGAGATACCGAGCAGCCCGATGACTCAGGCTAAGGAGAACGCTTGGTGCAAGAGGCACGACAGAAGGGAAGAAAAGGCGCACGAGAAAAGCATGTCAGAGGCCCAATATGTCGTTAATTGTGACGATGAGAGCGTTGTGCTGATGGAGAACAAGCTGGCGGATGGACGTAGAAATGCGGCGCATTGTAAGTCTGAGAACAAGAAAGCTTGCGAATCGGAGAGGCCCAATAAGAGGAGGAATGGGGGATCTGGTGCTAGTTCTGGGAAGAAGGTAGAGCCTAAGGCTCCCGTGAAGAAGTATATTTTGAAGGAACACGAGGATAGCGTCATTATTGAGGACACCGCGTGCGAGGAATCGAGAGGTAGCTGCGGAAAAAAGAAAGGCTGTGAGAAGAGCACAGCTGGAGGAGACATAAAGGGAAAGAATATAGAGAGCAAGAGTAGTGGAGAAACTTTGAAGGACACAGGAAAGTCTAAGGGTAAATCGAAGTCTTCCATGGTTCAGGAAGCGAAAGCTGATGTTGAAGTGGAGAGTAGAAAGTCGGAGAAACGGGTGGAGCCGATCGTAGAGCTGGAATGTGCGATCGGGGAGAAGAAGGAGGTAGCTAAAATGGAGACGTTCGTTGAGATGGACACTTATAAATCGCCGCCGTCGGATTCAGCTGATGATTTCAGTTCCAGCGAGTATCACATAGTCGAAACCGCTTGTTGCAATAAAGACAGCACTCTGGTACAGTCTGACGAGGATATCGAGCATATTCAGAGCTCTGAAATCAACCAGTTGCAGCAGGGTGAATGTTTCGGTGGCGGCAAATGCGTGGACGATCTGTGCTGCGAGGATTCCTCGCCGATTCTACGGCGAAAGAATAGTAAAAACACAATATCTGACGACGATCTGGAGTATATACATTCTATGGAGCTGGTCGAAACACCCGACAAGAAGTGCGACGACGATCTGAAGCTGGAGATTGAGAAGGAAAGCGATCACGACTCGAACGCCAGCAAACGTACCTTCTCGGACGACGATTTGGAGCACGTGCAACATTCTGACGTCTGCGCTATAATGTCTGACGTGACTAAAGATGGCAGGGTTATACGAAAGACCCAAGAGACTCCATTGGAACAGGCTAGCATATCGAAGAGTTCGAAGAAGTCGAAGGACATAGTGGTGATCGAGAGCGACACGTCAGCCGCGGACGTCACTGTGATCGTTAAACCGCCTGACAGTCGAAGAAGCAAGAACACAGAAAAGAAAGAAGAACCCGAGGAGTCTGTGAAAGACCCAGGACCCAGTGAGAACCCGAGTCCCTTGAAGAAACTGAAAACTCGACAGACAAAAACGTCACCTTCGAACGTCCCTCCGAAACGTTCCCCAGCAGGGATCGAGATCATCGACATCGACGCGATGCAGAAGGCTGAGATGCAGGTCCTGACCGACACAACAACCGCCCCCGAATGTAAAATCCTGTCTGGAGCAGAAGTCACCGGGACACGAACGAAGAAATCACGGAAAAATAAGAAATCGAACGCTGAGAACGCAGCCAGCTCAGAGGTTTTTGAGCCCGCGAAGATTATCGAGGAAACTTGGAAAGAATCGTGTTCCCAAGAAGCTACAGAGTTCTCCTGGAGCGCTATAGTCAAGAAGAAAAGTATATCCTTGGAGCCTGAACCGCAGAAGGAGGAAGAGAAATTCGTCGAGATCGAGGAAACGATCGTCGCAACGGAGGTCGTGGAACGTGGGGTCACGGCTAAAGATTCAGGGAAGAGAAAGGGACAGGATTCCACGTCGAGGAAGAGTTGCCAGGTGATCGACAAGCTACGAGAGGCTGTGGCAGAAAGTGGAACTCATGATTCTAGCTACGAGAGACTCTGGCCGATCGCCACGAAGAAGACCAGCGTCCCTTCGGAGCAAGAAGAAAAGAATGATCCACGACAAAGCAGCAATGAAAGCATCGAAGAAACACCTGTTCCCATCGAAGAACGAAAGGCCCGTCGAAGGAACGTCGATACTTCTGTTCGATCCTCTACAGTGACCGACAAGTTCCATGAGACTGCAGTGGAAACAGATTCCACAGTATCTCCAACAGCGGAGCTCTCTTGGAGCTGGGTTCTCAAGAAAAAGAATAGCTTCTCTACAGAGAGCGAAGGTAAGAAGGAGCCCGATTCAGACCAAACTGTAGAAGAACCGATGATCCAGCGCGAAGAAAAGAAGTCTCGTCGAAGACAGGTCGCAGAGTCTTCCTGTCGAGCTTCGATCATCGACGAGGTGGTTGTTGCAGAGACCACAGAAGAGTCCATAGCTCAGGTGAGAGGCGGTTCGTGGAGTTCGATCGTGAAGAAGAAAGCTTCATCGGAGTCATTACCCACTGGTGAGGAGAAAGTCCGAAAGAAGTACGATCTTGCCTCCGATTCGTTGGAATCTGACAGGAATCACGAGGCAAAAACATCGGAGAGCAAAGTCTCTTCGGTCGATCCACTCGTGGGCAGCGGTCCCCTAGTAGATCTTTCGAGTCCATCGATCAAACTGGAGGACACGAAATCGGAGAAAAACTCGAAGCTCGAGACGATCAACGAGAAAGGTAACGACGACGGGAAGTTGATAAGCGAACCGACGTTCACGAAGGAGGACTCGTCCGAAAGGGATCCTGAGAAGAGGAGCGACTCCGAACAGGATGTTGTCCCCGAGCGTTCCAGCTCCTCCGACGAGCTGAACGCCAATGTTGTGTTCACGAACACGGAGGGCGATTGCACGAGCCGGGAGGTGGTCGAGCGTGGCTCGAACTCGCTGGCGGCCACCTCAAAGAAAGGCAACAGGTCGAAGAAGAAAAAACGCAGATGAGTAGAGGATTGCATGGATGTACCCAGGGCCAGCCTTGCCCTCTATATTCTACTGATGCAAGTCGCTGGGGCGGATTAACGAGAGTTTTAACCGGGAACCCTCGCTGGGGGGGCTCTCGAGGCACTGTAATTACGTTACCTCTGATCATTTTTTTTTTCTTAACCCTGGATTACTAAACTAGCCTGTGATCTAGCGTTATTACTAATCACTCGTAAACATTGCGACTGAATGAAAACACGTAATTTTTTTGGAAAAAATATTATTTGTATAGAGGTAGAAATCTATGTTATAAGTTATGTTTATGATAGAGAAATTTTAAAATAATGGAGAACTAAGATGGTAATTATTCAGCACAACGTAGACGCATGTTGACAACATTGACGATAATGTGCCGAATTTCTGAGATACGTGAATTTGAGGTCGTAATTTTTATGACAGTTTAGTGATATCTAGGGTTAAGCGGAGTGTCATTGAACGATCACGCTAGAGAAATAAATACAAAAGAAAGGCTTCGACCGTGGGTGAGAAACTTGACTTGGTATTTTTGGAGAATATATTTTGCTGACGTCGGATATTTTAGATGTGTGTGTGTGTGTGCTCGTTTATGACGAAAAAATAATAATAAGTCGAATCTATTCGAGCACTGTGTTAGGAAGCAAAATTGAACGGAAAAAAGGTACCAGACACTGGGATAAAAATGTTCCGAGGTAACGGAAGGGGGCAAGGCTGTACGAGATTGTGCGTCCGGCAATCGTTCGATTGAACGCGATAAAAATGGAACAGAAAAAGAAAAAAAACGAAGAAACACGTGGAATTTTTCGAGAAACACCAAACATCTATAATAGAAAAAAAAAACAAAAACTCCGTCTGTGGTTTAAAGTACGATTTCATAGCGATTTCTGTTTCGACTGCCTTAAATCATCGAGTAAATCGAGTCCACTGTGCGTTATCCGTGTGGTGCATACAAAAAAAAATACAAGAAGGAAAACTGTTCTCTAGCTTGATTGGGTACACGACAGGCCCGTAATATCCGAACGAAAACGTTAATTGGCGATCCAAAAGAAAAAAACTCTTTCGTTCGTATAAGGATCGTACGGTCGTGATAGATCACGATTTCAGTTGCACGAAACGACCGTGCGAGAATCGTTCGGGATTCGTTCACCCTATTTTTGTGTGCCACCGAAAATGCTTTCCATGAAAGCTGTCTTTTTAGAGTCGAACAGATTCGATGGATTCGTTCGAAGTATATATTATATCCCCGATCGTCACCTATGGATCACGCTGCGTAACCGTCAGACCCATGAAAGTTGTTATAGAATCATCGATTTCGGTTCTTGAAACGATTATGAAGAACCTTTATTCTGAATAACTGTTATGAAGAACGTGAATTTCAGACTGTATAGGTTCCCGTTAAACGGTTCCTATATCAGGTTCCCATATAAGCTGTATAGCCGTTATTTTTTAAGTTTCATATCAGTTCCAAAATGGTGGTGAGCGTAGCCAGGTTATTACTCGGAAGGGAAGGGTACAGAATTGATTTTAAGGTAAATTTTATATTACTTCAAATGGATTTTAGTTAATATATTAGTTAATATATTTTTCTTTTCTAGGGGGTTGGGTTAGGTTAGGCAAAATTCAATTGTTTTCCCTTTAAGGTATGAAAAAGCTACTTTTTTCTTCTGAGGGGGGAGGGGCAGAGGGAGCACTGGTTCCGCCTATGAAAACGGTTATAGAATCGACTCTCAGTAAGGATTGTAGAAATTTAAAAAAATATCGATGACCTTGAAAATATATATATATATATAAAAATTGATTTTGAGAAAAAATTCTTTTTATCATTGGATGTACCCCTTGAAATAGTTCAACTTTGTCCTGAAAATATTTTTCATACAATAGTTATATAAGGTAGATATTTAGGTGATCCCATTTATTTGAGACACCCTATATGTAAGTTTCAGTTATGGTTCTTATATCAGCTTTTCATACAATAGCGAATACACAGTCTGAAATTTAGGTTCTTCGTAACAGTTCTTCAGAATAAAGGTTCTTCATAACTGTTCCAGTCGGACCCTTTAAATGTCACAGTTCGAAACGGTCGTTTTCCGAACCGTTTCAAGCCCTGGCAATCGCGAATGGAATCTCTGTCAGCTTGAGAGTAGTATTGCTCGATGGAGAAAGAATTCACGATATCGAGCATCGTCAGTTTCGTCGTGTCTTTCGTTTCGTGATACATCTAGCAAGCAAATAGTGTTTTTCCTCTATCGTGAATACCCGTGCTCGTTCTTGAAATTGTCGTCGGCCGTGTTACCGTAGATTCCCTAGAATCCTTTCTCTCGATGTCGATGATCGGGACTCGTCAAGTGGGTATTAATAATGTTTTTTTTTCTTGGCACGATCGTGACGATCCTGGGGTATATCGAGCACCGATATTGTATTACCTAATTGCTTTAAAAATGTGTGCGCGGCACATGCAAAAGAGAAAAAAAATCACTTACGAGATAGCGATTGAGTGTCTTAACGCGGGTAAAACTGTTTTAAATCCAAAGGATTTTTTTAGTTGATTTCCGTGGCGAATCTTGTGAGAACGGGTGAAGTAAGTTCACCGTGTGTGTATTTATTCGTAATCTTCGATCGTATGAGTTTCGTAATATGTACGATGAAATTGAACGTGTCATGTAATAACACTGACGTGCATAAAAAGACGGGTCTCTTGCATTGTATGCGAGCAAGGACTCGGTGAAGAGACGGGATCGTGGCGTGCCGTGGCGGGAACGAAACAAGATGGCCGCCCCTGGAGGTTAAAGCAAAATGGCTGCCGCTGTCTATGTTCCTTCTCACCTCGCAAATTCGTTTAATTTTTATTATTTAATTATAAAAGTAAACTGATGTGCGAGAATAGAGTTTAGGAGGAAGGAAATGGCTTTGGGCGGTCAATTGATTTTCTTTCACCTGTGGTAAAGCTAGATCCCGTTCCGATGTACTAGATAATTTTTTAATTTATAGGTACTTCGCCAAGTACCTACCAGTTCTTGACTACGTTCGGAGCTTTCAGTATACCGGATGTATACTGTTTCAGAGTGCGACGAAATGAATTTACCCTTTAGGTTCGAGTAAGTACAAGCATCGCGGAATTTGCGTTAGATTTATCTGGCTCTAAGTCACAAGTTTGGGCATAGGATGTTTCTTCATTAATTGTGTTCAAAAAGTTTCCAAGTTTCACAGGGATCGATAACTCAGGTGATTCGACTTTGTGTGGAAACTGAGCTAAAAATGAATTACAAAGATGGAGTACTTTCTTTATTTCGTGGAGTAATTAACTATATCTTTTTGGGTATGCGCAATCGAATTTAGCGTAGTGTAAATGGAATTTCTATATTAAATTGCGGAACGTGTTCTTCTTGTACGTAAAATGTGCAAACAATAGATTGCAAACATTTAGAACTTTTATTAATTTCTCAGGTATTAATGCAGGTCTTTAGTATCAGAAAGAAGTCAGTAACCTAAACAATTTAACTTGTGTTTCGACCGATTATATTGCTTTTTAATTCAATATACCAGGTCTTATTTTTATATGATAACAGAAATTTTTTAGCTGATCAAGAAAAATTAGAAATTGTTATTTATAGAACAAATTCGTCAACGTCAGTTGCATTCGATGATCGTCAAAGTTATTTTTTCTCGAGAATTGTCACTCCGTCGAAAAAGTCGTTAGTTTTCGATCTCTTTCCGATCATAACCAACAGTACTACCCTTGGCAGAAAGTATTCAGTCGAACGCGTTGTCGTAGTCATTGCGTGAATTATTTACATATTTATTAAAATAGAAAATATTATTACGTGTACAATATATTAAAGAAACAGAATAGAAGAGTTGACCTTATTCATAGAAAATATTTAAAGAAGAATATAAAATATTTTAATATAAACATTATAAAAGAATGTGAAAATTATAAAAAGAAGTGTATAAGCAATATCAGAAGCTATTCAAATATTTTTAATTTTCTGAGAAAAAAATGGTGACTATAGAAGTGGTCAGAAACTTTCTTCAACGTCTAAAAATAACTGAACACTATTAGTCTTGTTCATCTGTATTTTGTATATAAACAAAGATATCTATTTTTATATTAATACTTTACCTAAACGAAGACGTCTGTTTCTTTCTATTCTTTTTACTATTAGTGAGAACATTTTTAACATTCAGCACTTGAAAAATATTTGCATCAGACGTTCAGTTTGTTCGATAAAATACGTTTTGCCAGGGGTGGTAGTTCAGAAACGTTCAAGAATAATTACAAATAGGAAGCCAAAGATGCGTGGGCTATAGTTTTATTATCGGTGCGAATGTACGATAAGTTAATATATAGGGTGTCCATAAAGTCTTTACCTATCTTTTAAAAATTGTTGAGAAACGAACCAAACTCTAAGGTGATGTTGTTAAAGGAGTATTTTAATGTAAAACTCAAACAATTTCTTCCACTAATTCCACAAAATAAAAAAATTAGATTATTTTGCTTGATACTTGATCAAATGAAGAAGTGAGAATTTGCAAGTATCGAGACACATCGTATAAACAATGACACAGATTACTCCAAAGATACTAGAAAATACATTTTCCTCAAAATAGCTGATCATTTTGAGAATAAACAGACATATCAATGGTTCTTATATGGTATCCAGTTGGTTGAGTTATAGTTTATGGCACTTAGTAAAAGAAATCGCTCGAATTGTAGATTAAAATATTCCTTTAACAAAATATTGTTTCCACAAAACAGGTGACTGATTTGATATGTGCAGAGATATCGATGACACTCACGTGGAATCCAGTTAGTTGAGTTTTTGCATCTAGTGGGAGAAATTGTTCGAATTCTACACTAAAATATTCCTTGAACAACATCATCTTGGAATTTTGTTCTTTTCTCAACAATTTCTATAAAATTGTAAAGGACTTCTGTAGACACTTTACAGACAAGAGGCGGAATTTAATGTTCAGCGATGAAAATATCTAGGCAAACGATTTATAATAGACGTATTGTACAGTTGCATTATGCGAGTCTAGGAGCATCGTT